CTGTTTGGAAATGAAGATCATTCCAAAGATCTTTTGTTTTAGATTACTGACTTACGATCCAGCTAAACGAATTTCTGCTCATGAAGCGTTGGCTCATGATTGGTTTGAGCGTTATCCACCACCCACACCTCCAGAGATGTTCCCAACTTGGCCAGCAAAAAGTGAATTGGGTAAATCAGTCGTGAAGACGCCGATTACAAAACCTTCTTCATCGAAAGAAGTTAGTGCCGTTCTCTAGAATTCTTTACGAAGTATATTACAGCTGCTTTGTATAAGGCATTTATTGCTACGTTTTGGACCATGGTGAAGTTATTTCCGGAGTACTTAAAGATATTAAATAACACTTTTCCAGATACAAAACGCAAAGTTATACAAAGAGCTGAAGGTAGAGCCGAAGAAAGAAGCATCAACAAGTTTTGCGTTAAAGTTTGATGTAGCTCCAAAATTCAGCAAATGATATAATGGTTGGTTCATATCAATCCTCTGTGTACATAGATTTTGAATTGATATGAAAAATATATTAGTTTTTATAAATATTCTAAAACGGATGTTCTTTTTTCACATTCCATTTAAATTACGAGGAAAATGTGGCGATAGGAAATGCTGGAAGCATGAATGCATTGGTTAAGTATTGTTAACAGTAGTACAGAATTTTTGCCTTAGTTCATATTTTTTTTGGCTATGATGTAGAAACATACTTGTCATTTTATTGATGTTTGTAATCATTTCGGTTTTGCAAAAATGGGAGTGGCATTTAAAAACTCCTGATTTTTGATCAGAATGGAATTGTTTGCTAAGGTTTTATTTAACTTAGAAAATCATGAATTATTGTAAATTATTTAAAAAATTTTCCAGAAACCAGAATTTTTTATATCTGATGATCCAGGTATCACCAAATCTGTTCATCACTGACTAATATAATTGATCTCATCATAATGCGTCCTTAATTATTGTTGTTTAAACCAGTCAATTGTTTCGTCATACATCATGTTATAATGAAATTTGTCAAAATACCTAATATATAAGAGTTTAAAGCACAACATCTGGATACTTTAAAAAGCAGAGATGAAGAATGCGATATTTCAGCCAAGAGGCTTATCTATAATGCAGGTATTTGGCAGAAATGTAGTGGGCCTTTTTCAGCGGATTCACTCAGCGAGAAATGTAATTCTCATGTCATTTAAAAAATTTGAGATGCTGCTATCAGTATGAAGAGGACAAAAAGTCTGATTTGATCCCGCGATGGATTACTGATAATTAGAAATACCCGTATTATTTACACTTTGGTCCTATGGGATTTCCACTAAATGATTCACAGGGGTAGCAAGCAACATCAGAAAAACCTTAAATTTTGGTTTTCGAACAAATTTGAGAGGACGGTGATTTGTTGTGCATTTCCTCCAATTTTTCTGGTCCTCTTATTCCAAGCATATATGCAACTACTAGGAGGTCGGAAGGATTCATGATTTCTCTATATGTATACAAATACTTATTTTATAAATGTTCATTTAAACTAATCCAGAAAAGCCCAATATTTCTCTTTAAATCTTGAAGGGAATGTTAAATTGGGTAAAAAATTATTATCAAAGGTGTGTGGGTTTTTGGAGAGAGAGAGAGAGAAAGAGGGAGGTTTTTCTTTGTTTTTTTTTAATTGAATAAGAAATTCTTATCAAAGATGTGTAGATTTTTTGGAAAGGGGAGAGAGAGGGAGATTTTCTTTGTTCTTGGATTTCTTTGCTCTTCTCGCCCCGTTAATATCGAACTGCTGCAAGAATTGGAAGCAGGCGATTTTAGCTAACGATGAAATTTGACAAGCAATTCGTCTGCAAGTTAGCTTCTTCATAATTACTTTTGACTTAGCCGTACCACCTAAATGATATTTTGAAGCAGAGGAAATTGATAATTATAATGTTTCATCTATGAATTTTTAGAAGAAATTCTGTTTGTCAGTTTCGTTATTCAGCTACTTCACGATCATCGTCATGTAAATAAGTTAAAGGTCACCTTAACTAATACATCTGCTGGAACTCGAATCGTTGATGGCAACTGAAATGTCCGAAATATATTAATATTTAATTTAAAATTTTCAATAACTTGTTTATGTGTTTTACAATACTGCATGAAATGAACCTGTCTAGTGATTAGGGAATTAATAGTTTGTGATAGCATACGATTTGAGGCAAGTCATCCAATACATCATAATACTCCATAAGCAGCTGAGGGCAACATCTAAACACTTGAAAATTCTTCACTTTTTCCATTTTTTACCACCGATCAATATAATAAACAAAAAAGTAGGGTGGAACTGACGAGGAAAAAATTATATAAGATATAAATTAATTAAAAAATTATTCTTGTAATTGGTCACGATAGTTATTCTTGATTTCGATAGCTTCTTCAGCAGACATTCTCTCCATTGCTGCAGTGGATCAATGCAATTTCAACCATCTAGCAGACTAGAAAAATTAAAACTCAAAATTCAGTGCTCAGTATATTAAATGGTTACCAATACAATTTCTTATCCATATACAAGTAAACAATAGAAATAAACAATTGAGCAGGAAAATATTGTATAGAAATGTTGGAAAATGTAGTCCAAGACTAAAATTGCAATCTTCTTAGTGATTAGTAATTTCCCTTTAGTAACTAAGAAATCAAAATTTAATGAAATTGGGATAAAATGCTTATCATTAGGAGATGCGCTCGAACCATTATTTTGAACATATATGATAAGAGTGATCATTAAACCATGAAAAACTCCCAGAAATACCAATTGTCCAAAACATCTGTAAGACAATTAATGAAATGAATAGAAAAGTAGAAGGTAAAAAATGTCTTGTTTGGCGTAGAATTCATAAAATTAAATTTGTCATTAAAGCAGATGCTAATAATCCTGGCATGTAGCAATCATTTATGTCATTAAAAATCAATCATGATCAACCGATACAGTTTTATAAATCACATTAGAAACAAAAGTAATTACCTATGAAAAAAAAAAACGAAACTGAGAAAGTTGCTAATAAATTAAAAGAATATCGAAAATGAAATGAAAATAATCATAAAGATGGCGATCATTCTGATTGCGCTACATGAATATATATACATATTGGAACTTAACTAAATTTTGTTTTTATTACATGAGATATTAATTTGCATTGTTAATTTCCGTTTGCGCCGTATTGCTACCGTATTTGCTGTACGGAAATCATATCATATTCTGCAATGAAATATCGTTTTGGATTCTTGTGTTTCAATAAAACAAATGTAAATGCATACACTATAAAGAGAGACGAATGAAATTCAGATCGACAATTATGTATTTCGCATCACTAAATAAAATAGATATCTTAGTGTTTTATTTTCTGCTTTTGCTATCGGATGAATATTTTTTTTTAATTTATTATTGGATTGAAAATTTTCTGATTTATTACTAAATTTGGAAATTTTCTAAACTGAATTCATTCCCGTGATTTTATTGATGATCAAACATCAACCAGTAATTTACTGCTGGAACGAAAAATTATCCGAGTAATTCAGATTTATCTATAATTTATCTATACAATTCAGATTCTATATCATCTATATAACTATAATTATCTATATAACTATAGTTATCTATATAACAATTTATACAACTATATAAATCTGAGTTATATAGATAAATCGTTATATAGATAATTATAGTTAATGTTAATACAAAAAGAAAGAAAACAATTGATTAATTACGGCGATAGTTTACGACAGATAATCAATTGGCTATTTATTTGAACGAACGCGATATTTGAGGGAACGAAGTACTATAATTATCCAGCGACATTCATTTGTATTAGTGTAAATCAATTATGATATGAACTAAGGAAACTTAATCATGTTATACCTCAATCAATTAATACCTGATATTGAGGTGAAATTAAAATTATTTCTTTGCAATAAAAATTAGCAAATTGAGATCGAAGAAGTTTAGAAGAAGATAAAAAGTAGGAAAAAAAATCAAGCAACTATTGCTCATTAATTTTTTCATATCGATTCGAATAAAAATATATATCTGTTTGTATGAAATCTCACACAAATCTGTCAACACCAATACCAACATGGTTGATGATCGGAATTGATGCTATATTACTTAAAATTAAAAACTTTTTGAAGTTAGTTCAAATAGATTTAACAAGCAAAAATGATATCATATCTAGTGATATCGCGGTCGAATATTTAATCTGATCAGCATTAAAAACTTTATAAATGATAAAGATTATTATATAATTATTCAAATATTTACTCATTAACGTTAAAGTGTTTTTTCAATTCCTATCTTTTCATTTTATTTATTTAAGTTAAAGTTTAGCAATTATTTGTAATGCATAATTTAACATCTTGTTATCACTTCCAAAATGTTACAATTCAATAATATTTAGATTTCAAAGTGATGATACATTATTTTGAAAGTAACAATTTATCATCGATGAGATTTGTTTCATTTATACAAACGTTAATGTCTAAGAAATTATAATATCTTAGAGAGATTTTTTTTATCGCTTTATCAATCTTCTTGATTTAATGATATATAATCATAATTATTCTCATTTAAATAATTTATAATCATTATGAATCTTTTGATCTTTTGAGATTTTTTGCATATAAACTTTTCTTTTAAATTTGAATAATTATTTGCAACATAATTTAATTCCATTCAGCCAATTATATTCTGTAATTTTCGAACTTCATGAAGTTACCTTTAAAATAAATAGTAAAAACTAAATAAACTAAAATCTTAATTATATTATGTTAATGTTCCAACTTATTTTTATGGTTTATTAACAAACAAAATAATTTATTAGAAACAATTTTGTTGAGATTGTTTATTAATAATAATATAACATTGGAAATAAAAATCATGAAATGTTTATATATATATATATCATAATTATTTTATATGTATCATAATGAATGTGACAAAATAAAATACAGTAGATAAAGAAAGAGCTATCAGAAAATACGTAAAATTAGGATCTTAGAAAACATCGAGTGCGGGATTGTGCAGAAATACATTCAAGATAGGGACGAGCAGCACGGCTGAGAATTCGCAAATGACAAAAAGTAGCATTCAATCCACTGACAACGATGCTGTAAAGTTTTAGAAATTTAAATCAATTTTATTTATTTTAAATTCAGTTTGCTATAATTTAGCTTTAATTATCAGAACGGTACAGTATGATATTAATGACTGATCGGTGTGGGAAATGAGAAAAATAAAAACATTATAATCATACTTTCCATCTCTGAAGCCTACACATGCTAACAGATCAGATGCTGTTGGTATTAGTTCACTCCATAAACAACCTAAAATCATGAAAAAGAAAGTTTTCTGAAATCTAATTCAATAACAAGTCAATAATAATGCTATATGTCATTAATAGATCTGCTTAAATCTATATATGATTAGAAGTTTTTGGATATGCAATTTATAATGATCTGTTTGTGAACCAATTTGTGATCTGGATCACCAAACAAAAAAGTTTAAGCAAGTTTTTAGTACAAGTTAAAATAGTATTAAAAAAGAAACATACTTCCATCATCGACATTCCATAATTTGGCAGTATGGTCAGCGGAAACACTTAATAGAACACGTTTCGAAGTTACCTGTTGTGGCAGAAAAATGGTACAGGTCACCGATTCCTCATGTCCACGATATTCGAGAATCATCTTTTGCTGTCGGATATCCCACAACTAGAAATAACCTAAATAAATTCATTAAAAGTAAAAAAAGGTACCTTTATCCATCCACTTTTATACTAATCGCCATCCAAAAATGATTAACAATTTTTGGATATCAGGTTAGTAAATGAACAAAACAGAATAAGCCAGGATAACGATATCACAACATTATTGTATATATTTTTAAAATTTAAGTAATTATGCAACAAATTTTACTGTAATTTCGCATCCATCACCGTTAAAACCATTACTTGATGTAATACAGTAATTACTATCCGGTAAAAAATCACAATGTGTAAGCATATGATTTTTTTTTGGGAACTGAAATGCAAGGCATAGATTTCGACTATCCCACATTCTGCAACAAAATTTAGTAAAGGAAAATTTTTGGTTCCAATTTGAGATGATTGGAATTAATTCTAATCTAAATTTTTTCCACTATTAAACGATACAGCTTGTTAATTTTGAACAATCTTTCACAGATTTTTTGTATGATATGAATAGAAAAAAGCTGTGATAAAATTGGAGATTTAGAAGATTGAAAATTAAAAATTGAAAATTTATAAAAACTTACTTTAATTGTTTATCTTCCGACGACTGAGCAAGTAGATTATTTGTGATGCAATGTGATATATGGGTTACCTGTAATTTATATGGAATGATTCGGGTAGTAATTTATACTAATTATCTTTTTTAATGAAGTTGCTAGAAAGCTGCAACAGAGTTGAAAATTAAAAGTTGAAAATTTTAGAAGCTAGTATAAAAGATGAAGTTTGATAAAATGTAACAGTTCGTTGCTAAATTTTAATTTATGAAATGAGAAACAAATGGCTACCAAATTTCTGCTATGTCGAGCGACCCGCAAACAAGTACCCATTTCGAGATCCCATAATCGAAGAGTAGCATCACGGGCACCCGAGACAAATCTCGTTTCTGTAATTTTGATAATATCATTTTATAAACTTTCTGTGTTCCATCCCATATTCTCTAAAATAGTTTACAGATGATTACAGATCTCTCTGAGAAAATTTCTGTCTTAAATAGTCTTTGCTTACGATCAGTCATGGCCAATCCGCCGATACTCATTTCATGTCCTGAAAAGATGCGTATGGTACTTGGACTGTCGAATTTCCATAGTCTAATTTGGGAATCTCTTGATCCACTAAGAATAAATTGCTTCGCAAATGTATTACGATACTCAATCTGTAAATAATTAGTTTAGATAAATTTCGAAATCATCTTTGAACTTTAATTTTTAATTTAAAAAACCTACATTCGTTTTTTTGACTATAAGGTTTGTAATTCGATAGATGTAAGACTTATTTCCCCTACTTATAAAACAAACGTTCCGCATGCTTTTGATGTGAATTATAAAATTGATTGAGAACTGATACGTATAATCGCGTGCAACGAGAACTGTACATGTACATTCATGTGCACGTATGAAGGAAATATTTGTTTCACTGAAGAAAAACGAATACGATCGATTCACAAGAAAGTTAGTTTCAAGATCAAACTACAAATTTCTGCTTTGTAGTTTGATCGCAAAAATCACATTTATATTTTTTGTTTTTCGATTTTCTTTCCACTATTATGAAGGAAGTCTGTACTTTCTCTCCAAAATTTATTAAATGTTAATATATCTTTACCTAAGCTATCAATATAGGTTAAGAAAGAAATTTTAGTGGAAAGATTCAAGATATAATAGGTTATCGTTTTCTACTTTTTCGAAATGATATTCAGTCATTCCAATTTTGCTGACTTCTTCGTTTTAGAAACACTGATTCTTCTATAACTTCTAAAAGTTAGAAACAATTTCGTAGAGAAAATTTTAAAGTAGATTTTTGTATTTTATGCAATCTTGATACTGCTATAAGATTATCCGGAGAAAACATAAGTCTTAATTGTTTTTCAGTTACGAATATATATTACCTTGGTGATTTCTTTCTCATGACCATACCATCGTAGAACACATTTCCCCGTATCCAAGTTATTCAACGCTAGCAGCTGTAACATAATAAATATATTTCAATAATATATTTAAAAAAATAAAACGATCAAAAGAACAAACCTTATCACGACCTCCACTCAGTACCATGCCTGATCTCACTGGTGCTAATGCTCCAATAGCATCACTATGGACAGGAGTTCGTAACACTGGACGCATTTCTCCTATCTGAGAGATACTTCTGCATCTAAAAAAAGTTTTCCTTTAAATTTCCAACTTTATTTAACCAAATAAATGTCATTTTTCAATTTATAATTATTGAAACACTTTATTTTTTTCATAATAGCTGTCAATATTACATATCATTTTGCTAATTAAGCAATAAAAGTATGGTAATTTTTTAAGTATCAAATGTTAGTTAAGCTATAAGTACAGGCAGTGTGAAGACATTTATCAATTGATAATGATAATGTTATTTGGGATCCTATGAAGTTTAATAGTATTTAGATGAATCGAGATATACTGTAATATAGTAGATATTGTAATCAAGTTTTCTGGAATAAAAAGTTCTAAAAATTACTGAATTATTTGATTATCAGTTTACTAATTTAAACTAATAAAATCAGTCAAACAATTTTTTGAAACTGAGGAAATCTTCCTTAAATTTGTCTATAAAATTTTTATATTTCGATATGTGATGTGCGATCAGCTAAATTAAATTGTATTTTCAACTTTGGTAGTTTCGAGATATCTCTTCCAATTTTTGCTGATGTTGCAAGAAATTCGGTTGAATCTTGAGTAGATAAATGAGTGTAACTATTGCCCATTATCGAATAGTAAATGAATGTTCAACAGTTAGTTAACATTATCAGCGAACAATTTATTCATTTTATTTCTTTCCTGAAATTAATTGATAAGCTCTTACTAATCGATAAGAGACAAAAGTAATTATTGAAATAATATATAGGAAAGAACGATATGTTTGACATGACCTGACACATATACTTGTCTCTTGTTGATAATTTAGATGACATGATATGACACATGAGTAATACGGGAAATGTGAATTATGAGTCATTTGTATTCGAATTAAATTCAAATTGTAAAGTAATTGTTGCATCAAATATTAGTTTAATTTCAAATGTAATTGAAAATATGAAAAAATATTACATTGTTAAATTAATTAAAGATGATTTATCATTGAATTTTCCTAATTTCTGTTATCAAATAAATATTAAGCTTATCAATGTCGAAATTGAAAATGATCTGATTTATGCTCTGCTAAATTGATTATTATCACCTTAAAATAGACATTAAGCATAATTAAAGTTAATTGATTTCCTGCTGTAAATTACAACACACATTTATACTAATCAAAATAAAGAAAAAAAACTAATCGTAATCAACTAATCATAAGAATAATAGTTTTAGTGACAAAACTATTTCATTATTTCTAATAAATATACTCTATCCTAAGGATACTGAAGTGATCGTAAGTTACTTTTAAAATGTGAAATAAGAAGAATGTAATGAAAGATTTCAATAATTTCATTTGAATAAAGAAAAGTAATAATAATAATAATTCTACTCATGCATATATATCTATTTGTTAAAAAAGTATTGGCTGATATTTATTTAAGAAACACCAATTAATGAGTTAACAATTAAGTATGAAATATTTCCATGGATACCATCACAATTGACAGTTAATGTAAAATGAATATCTATGAATTTGAATTGAAAATAAATTATTGAAAGAATAATTTCTCATCGACAAAATTATCCATGCTGAAAATATCCTCAAAGTAATTTTTCAAATGATAATATGGCTGTATAGAAATACATAACATATATTTATTAAACAATTTTATATAGGGATAGGATTAAAATTTAAACGATTTTTATTAATTAATATTACTATTAATAACTTTCTAAGTTTTTAGTTAATTTTCATTAAAAAAAGATTTAAAAATTTTTAACATAAAATAATTATATCCTTCCTATAATTAATTTCATATTAATGTAAAAAAATTACTTTATGTTAATTCATATTAATGCATTAAGGTATGAAATAACATAGATTAAATTTATAATGATAAATTGATTAGTAATGCATGAGCTATTGATGTTCTGAAAGATAATGTGATATTTAAAAAAAGTTCACATTTCATTACAAAATAAACTATCAAGCAAAATCATAAATGCAATTGATAATGTTCACTTATCAACATTGTTTATTATGTTTACACTGATAAAATCGGTTGAAAAAAAGAATACTAACAGGAATAGTTATCAAAAATTGGATTTTATCAATTCATGTATTCTGATAAGAATAATATTGCATTATCAAAATCAGACCCTATAAGAAATTCAAAAATGTTATTAATTCATAGTATCATCATTTATTACTTCAAAAGTAAATTGCGTAAAATTAGAAATATTCCTTTTTTGTTCGTCAACTTTATCATAGTTATTATTAAAAGAGAGAAAAAGGCCTGTTTGAATTATTAAATAGGAATGAATGCTACAAAATAAATGCATTAATATATATGTATAGTTGCTATGGTAATAAGTCAGTCACATTTACCTCTCTCTTAAAGCACAAATAAACATTGAATTTTAAATCAATCGAATTGATAAAATGAATTTTCGTTTTTTGAGCCTAAAATATATTTATACAAATAGCACTTAGAGCGAGTGATGAAATTTGTAGACTTAAATTAAATTTGTGGTTGATGATATGAAGGTGAAATTTTAGGCTGATGAAAAAGTCATTACCAATTTTAGCAAGCAATAACTAAAAATTGTCAAATATTTTATACTTTAAGAAATATTGGCTATTTTCATTTCTCATTTGTTAATTTTCTTTTGGTATAACCAAATCAGATTAGAGATCTCTTAATTGATTTATTTGTACGATCCTTAACCTTTGTATTACGCAATCATTTCGGTAATTTGAAGCTATCTCAATACTTCACCTCTGTTCATGTCCACTGTGTGATCTCTTTCTCAGCATAATAAATATTAATTAGTCTTTTACCGGTCAATTTTTATGCCATTTATTATTAGCAATATTTTGTTGTAATCTTTAATGTATCGCTCTTATGCGATAAACTAAATTCATTTTGTTGTTTTCAGATTTAGAATATGTTTAAGATGGGAATTTATCGACGATGTAATGAGAAGTAAATAAAAATGTCGTATTTCCTGCTTCCTTTTATAATACTTACATTCTTTACAATCATTCCAATGAATGAACAGATATTCTTAAATTTAATTAGTTTTGAAATTCAAGATATTCATACAGTTTCCAGGAACCTTCTAGGTGTTTCCGGAAATTTCTTTCTCATTTATCTGCATGATTTAATAATGTTTAAATATTTGATTTAGATAATGATAATCAAATTTCTCAAATTTATATGAAATCATAATAAGACATTTTGATGAAACATAAATAATTAATATGTCTTGTTGATATCAGGAAAGCAAACACTGAATAGAATAGTTGGTAAAACTTGCTGCAGAATTTTTAAAAAGGTAATTAAAAAGGTGAATTCTTTATTTCTGCTCTTTTTGACTTTAATTGCGCAGATATTCAGGAACTTTTACACAATTAGACATCATTAATCATTGAAGGATGAAGTATTCTAAAATTAATTTAAATGGCATTTTTCTCTGATGACAATTTATGTTTATCAAATGCTTTGTCGTTTATTTTAAATTTTCCTAGGGTTTTTTTAAAAGATGTAGTGCAGGATATTGAAATGTTAAGAGTTAGATTTCAATAATTGCCATTTAGTTTTGCCAGCAGAAATTTATATTGTATTAAAATAGAATTCAATGAATCATTACAAATGATTTGTATATTTTTTAGTCAGTTAAATGATTCAGTAATTTCTGCTCATTTCAATGAAATTCATTTTCTAATTCTCTTTGATATAACTTTCAGCATTACTTTACGAAAGAATGATTATATTAAATTTGGAAAAGTTTAGAAATGAGTAGTAGTTTTAATTTCACGGTCATTGTAAATAAAAATTAAAGCATTTTCAATTAAAAAAAGAAATTGAAATTTATGCGCGAAAGAATGATCGATCCATAACTGATGGAACTCCGTGATAGCGGTATATTACGGTACAAAGGACCTCCGCCCTCTTTTAAAACCTTTTCATACCGCACAGTTTCAGTTTCATCCATTCATCGACGATCGTTTTCGGATATTGTGCTACAACCAGTTTTTTCATTTATTCAAATTACGGTGCCGCCTTTGATTTTTGTGATACGAATATGTCGATCAGTATTTTGAAAAGTATCACTAGAAATAACTGATAATACATTGTCAGCAAATTCTTAATGAGTAGAATTAGCTTATGCAAGCTTTAATAAATGCAGCTTATTTTAAGTTATCTTTTATTCCATCAGAGCATCATCAATTTCTGTATAATTAATCTTTTTTATTTTAAATATTTCAAATTTTTTATTTCATAATTATTTCATTATCTAATGAATAAATAACATAAAAGTATGCTCTATGAATTCATGCAATAATAAGTTAAAAATCATTTATCAAATATAGTACTAAAAGTATAATTGAATTACTCAATACAGAATTATGATCAATCATGAACGGATCATGTAAGCGTACGGATCATTCTGTTAAACGGATCATATAAGCGTACGAATCATTCTGTTAAACGGATCATGTAAGCGTACGGATCATTCTATTAAACGGATCATGCAAGCTACGGATCATTCCGTTAAACGGATCATGTAAGCGTACGGATCATGTAAGCGTACATTTCAGCTCCTTTTAAACAAGAAAAAAAAGAGAAAGAATGCATTTTTCAGTTAAATGAAAGGCCGCTTTCGTTTTCATCGTATAGATTCAGTAATTTGATAACTTTTCGATAGCATGTAACCATGTCTCCATTACTATTCTACGATGTCAACCAATCCATCAGATCGTCCTTGAATATAATCGATGTTTTCACAATCTTCAATCCTTCCACATCAATTATTGAAAACTTTGAATTTTCATCTAATGACATGTCTACATCATTATCATACAACTATAAGAACAACTATTTTAAGTTATACTTTAAGTTATAATTATAGCAATCAATTCTATTCTAAACATTAAAATTCTATTCTAAAATTCTAAACATTAAACATCGATCAATTTATATTGTCAAATAATTTTTCATATTGCAAACTATCAATGATTTCTTATTAATAGTAGTGAGAAATACATGTAAGGTAATTCTGAAAAAGGTAATTCCATTTATTTCAAATTTATTACTTGCAGTAGTCTGAATACTTACATTTATAAGTTTTACTATTAATTGTGTAAAGCTTAAATAATATATTTATTGGAAAGAGAAAAATGTATGTATGTAAAAAGATAAAATTGTGGTATAAGAAGAGTGTATTGGGATGGGTTGCCATTGCGATCGGTTTTCCCTATCTATGTCTGAAATCGCAATGTTTAATTGTCAACATCAATTGTCGAAGTAACCTTCAATTTGAATTTCATATCTCTTTTTTTTTTTCTACATCAATAGTACGGTTAAAATTTTCATTTTGAACTTGCTGACTAAACTAAAAATTTAATTTGTTTTGTTAATTCATGCGGAAAAATGTCCGCTGGAGAAATATTCAATTCGATAAGGAAGAAATGCCACTGATATACATATGTATGTATATATATTAATTGTTGGCCTTTTGATAACAGTAGTAGTAGTAGTAGTAGTAGTAGTGGTAGACTCTACCACATTTCTCAACTATATCATTACACTGATATACATACGGGTACATATATTTCGTTTAT